GGTAGGATTTACTCCAGAGGCAGAGGCAGGCGGATTTCCAAAGGGAAACCCTGCCTCAGAGAAAAATAAATAAAAGTAAAAGAAATAAAGTAATAATAGATAAATAAATAAGCCACGTAAAGATGAAAAATACACTGAGAGTCTGGATACTGTACGCTATTGTGTTTTTCAGTTTTTTCATTGCTAAGGAAGGAACAACTGCTAAAGTACACTTGATTATAAATGCTGCTGAATTAATTCAACTTCTATCTTTTGAAAATGCCTTGACTTCAAAATTTAAGTATAAGGATATGTTACTTTGAAAAAGAGTTTTTCTTTATGTTTCTACAGAAAATGAAAAGCTGAGGATTCCTTCCAGGCTTCTGTGGTTTGATGAACCAAGACCCCCAGAAGCAGTGGACCAGGTGTTCCAACAATTGAAACAGATGATACAGTCTTACAGACCGGGAAAATAAGGACTTATACAGGTTTCTGAGTTTTGTCATGATCCCCATGGTATGAACAGCGCCCCCTTCCAGCACGAAGCAGTTTGGAATGAGCGACGTCCTAATTCCCATCTTGTTTATAAATCTTTGTTTTCATTTAAATGGGGTTGTTTACCAATCTCTTTTTAATGGTAAAAGGGGGAATTATGGTATGGGTATGGGTTTTCATTTATTGATATAAATTCAAGGTCAACTTTGTGATGTGTATATTTCTCCTCTTGATTAAGTATTGTGCTTATACTGGTCTTTAAAACATAATGCATAATTAAATACAGACTATAGGTAGTTACTTATAATAGTCAGAATTTATAGTTAGGTAAGTTAGGTTTTCTAGATATATAGAGATGTATTTGAGACAGATAGATAGTCTTCAAACCTTTCAAAGACCTTCAGAAAATAGCATTTAAAATGGTTTAGGGTTTTTCTTGACAATAAGAAATGTCTATTCCTGGCAGCACCAATTATGTCTGAGATGGGCATCAAAGAAACTCATTATGGAGTTTGGTTTCAACATGGCAAGATTAGCCATTTGGGCAAGAAACTGCTCTTGGCAGCCGGGCGTTGGTGGCACACGCCTTTAATCCCAGCACTTGGGAGGCAGAGGCAGGTGGATCTCTGTGAGTTCGAGGCCATCCTAGTCTACAAAGTGAGTTCCAGGAGAGCTTCCAAAACAATACAGAGAAACCCTGTCTCAGAAAAAAAAAAAAAAGAAACTACTCTTGTCTGGACTCTTTGACTGTTGCTCTATAAACTGGACATGCAGGACCCACAGGAAAGTGACTGCTGAACTCAAACAGTCCTTCAGGGTTCCTGATTCATGGAAGAGTCTACGAGACTTTCTGAGGATACAGAAAAATGACTGACAGACTGCCAATGAAGATGGACAGTTTGAAATTTCCTGCTTTGCTGAGAAATATTCCAGACACATTGTGGCCTATGGGCTGAAGATGGATGCCCCAACGTTACAGAGGAACATCAGGTGACTGACTGTTCAGGTAGCAAGATGTCTCTGTCAATCCTAGTGTTTATATATTATCCGTCTGTGGTCTTTGATGGAGTTGAAGACAGTTATAATTATAGTTTGCCTTAGTTATGATAAAAGATAAGCTACATATAGAACTTTGGACTCACAAGGATGGGATAGATGACATTTTCTTTAAATCTTGCTAAATGTTGATAGACAAAATATTGTAACTATGTTCTTACTTGATAACTGTTCTTTTATATATAATTTGACTATGTTAAAGTTAAGACCTTTCTTTTTGTTTAGACAGAAAAGAGGAGATGTTAGGGAAGTCCTGTGTATATGTCAATAAAGCACTGTTGGCCAATAGGGAACAAAGATAGGTGGGACTAGGAGTCGAGGAGGACTCTGGGTAGGAGAAACACAGAGAGTCAAGATGTAACACCATGGGGTAGGAAGCCCAGAACTATTCTCTGGTAAGAGAAATACTTAGATTATCAATTATGGGATAAATACTTAAGTCAGATCTAGCCAGTAAGAAACAAGCAAGGCCAACAGCTTTATAATTAATATCTCCTTTGTATTTATTTGGGACTGATGCGGCTCTAGAACCAGGCTGGTGGGAAGACTTCTCTCAAGGAAAAGGGTTCCCTTTACAAAGGTGAAACCTGGTTTGCCATGGAGATCCCAAATGTTGGAGGTGCCAGAATGGTGAGATTTCTGCAGAGGAGAGATGCCCACAGGGGGTGCAGCCAGCCCAAAGAGAGAAGTCTGCTGTGGTCAACAGAGCTGAAAGGGATTGCAGATCTGAAGAGCGTTTCAACATCAGACATGGAGATGAAGAGTTTCGAGTTTTCCCTGCTGGCTTTCAGTCCTGCTTTGGTCCAATACTTCCTCACTATGCTCCCTTGCCTCCCTTTTGGAACAGTAATGTATATCCTGTGCCGTGGTCTGTAGGAGGTATGTGATCTCCTTTTTTTTTGTGGAGGGGTTGAGACAGAGTTTCTCTGTATTGCTTTGGAGGCTGACCTGGAACTTGCTCTGTAGACCAGGTCGACCTCGAACTCACAGAGATCCCCCTGCCTTTTCCTCCCGAGTGCTGGGATTAAAGAGTGCACCACCAATGCCTGGCCTTGACCTGCTTTTTTTATTTTGTATTTAAAGGAGATTGCAGTTAGGAGTTGCTTTGAATCTCAGAAGAGATTTTGAATTTTGAACTTTTAAACAAATTTGAGGCTATGGATTCTTTTGAAGTTGAACTAAATGCATTTCTGCATTAGGATATTGCCATAAGCTCATTGAGACCAGGGAGTGGGATGTGGCAGTTTGAATAAGAATGGCCCCCATAGACTCATAATCTGTAAGCTTAGGGAATGGCATCAGGAGGTGTGGCCTTGTTGGAGGAAGTGTGTCACTGGGAGAGGCTTTGTGGTTTCAAATGCCCAAGCTGTTAGTATCCAGGCACCTGTGCTGGCCTGCCCTTGGGGTTCTGACAGGATACATCCTCAGCTGCAGCCACTAAGAGCACTGCCTGTGCACCTCCCCTACTTTCCCTTTTCAAAGGGCTCTGCCTGGTGATATCCTGGCCTTATGCTGACCTGGACCCTTGACAACTGGCAGAGGACACACACCGGCTTTCAGGCAGGTACTTGGACAGCTCAAAGGGCCCTGTGTTGTGTGGCTATGTCATGTGTTCTAGGGCTATGTAAGGACTCTGTACGAATGTGCAGACGTTCCCTCTTAAGCGAGCAGGCTGGTCCCTCCCCCTTTCTTCCCGGTTTTTTCTCTTTCCCCGGTTGGCCAACACCTGCCCCTTCTTTTCTCCCTTTCCCCAAAAAACTCCACGTGGGTTTTGTTGAGCTTTGTGGTTCCTGTTTCAACACCTGAAACTACAGCAAACAACACTGTCGGCCTCACCCCATCTCTGCCTGTCTGTCTGTCTGTCTGTCTCTGTCTCTGTCTCTTCTTCTCTCTCTTCTCCCTCTGTTTGTGTGTTCATGCATGCTCATGTGGAGAGAGAGGTTGGCAACAGCTGTCTTCTTCTGTCACTCTCTACTGTGTTTCCCTCATTGTTACTTATTTATTGATCTGAGGGGGAGGGGACACACATGCTGTGGCACTCCCATGGAGGCCAGAGACAACTTATGCTGTGGAGGTATGAGGGCAGCTTTCGAGAGTTACATGTGGCGGTCAGAGGGCAGCTTGTGGAGGAAGTCAGTTCTCTTCTTTTTTTAAAAAAGATGTACTTATTAGGTATACAGCTTCCTTGGGGCTGGAGAGATGGCTCAGAGGTTAAGAGCACTGACTGCTCTTCCAGAGGTCATGAGTTCAATTCCCAGCAACCACATGGTGGCTCACAACCATCTGTAATGAGATCTGGTGCCCTCTTCTGATGTGTACATGGAGGCAGGGTGTTGTATTAGTAATAAATAAATAAATTTTTAAAAAATGTATATAGCTTCCTACCTGCATGTATCCATGCAAGCCAGAAGAGGGCACCAGATCTCACTACAGATGGTTGGGAGCCATCATGTAGTTGCTGGGAATTGAATGCAGAACCTCTGGAAGAGCAGCCAGTGCTCCTAACAAATGAGCCATCTCTCCAGCCCTCTCTCCTCCCTTCTTACTCCATGGCTGGTTGTGTGGTTGTGAGTTCAATTCCCAGCAACCACATAGTGCCTCACAACCATCCATAATGAGATCTGGCGCCCTCTTCTGGCGTGTAGACATACATGGAGGTAGGATGTTGTGTTCATAAAAAATAAATAAAAATCTAAAAAAAAAAAAAGGGGAGGAGAGAGATTAGAATAGAGAAAAGTAGAAGCCAGAGGCAAAAGGCAGATGGGATAATTTGAGAAAATCTGGCTAGAAACAAGTCTAGCTAAGGCCAGGCATTCATAAGTCAGAAAAAATTTCTGTGTATTTATTTGGGATCTAGGTGGCCAACCTCCAAAAAGTAAAAACAAACAAAACTACAGATGGGGGGCAAAGAATCCTTTTTCCTAATGTCAGTGTTTGAAGTACACTTCCCTCTGGGGCTGGAGTGATGGCTCAGTGGTGAAGAGCCCTGGCCCCTCTTACAAAAGGACCTGGGTTCAATTCTCAGCACCCACATAGCAGCTCACAGCTGTCTGTAGCTCCAGCCACAGTGGATTTGGCATTCTCACACGGGCATACACAAATGTACGTTTTAAAACATTTTTGTCAATAAAAGGAAAGGAAGAAAAACATATGTTCCTCTGTAACCCCCATGTAACCCTCTGTCCCTCAGAATAGGGCAAAGAGGGGTTATTGGAAGTGACACAGGGGACTGGAGAGATGGCTCGGTGGCCAAGGTCTCTTGTTGCTCTTGTAAGGGACAGGGCTTGTTTCCTAGCATCCACATGACTGCTCACAACTGTGTTCTAGTTCCAGGGAGATTCACTGCCCTCTTGTGGCATTTTGGGGCACTACAAATGTTATACAGAGACACATACAGGCAAAACACTCATAAAAAACAATGAACCTAATTTTTTGAAAATAAGGAGGCACAAAAGAATAGCAACACAGAATTTAAAAATGAACATTTCCAAAATCACTTTATTAATCTAAATTCTAAAGTTTGGTTGATTCATAAGTTGGATCAAAATAAATGATTTTCTCTTTTTAGGTGCTGGGGACCGAACCCAGGGTCTCAGCAGGCACGCTGTCACTGAGCTGTATCCCCAGCCCCCAGATTTAAATAAATGATTTCCAGGAGGTTGTTGAAGGCTTGATTCTCTTGCATGTCAATCCAGATCTGTTTTCCACCGGTGACATCTCACCCACATCCCTTCTCATCCGTCTGATGTAGCTCACTTCCTTTTATGGTTGATAACCCCCCTGAGTTAATAAGAGACTCACATTCCAGGATTCCTTAGAGACAAGGCGGGGTGAACCCATAGGGCCATTGTGAGGACTCCAGCTCATTGACTGTGCTTTCTCTTCCATTGTGAGAACTTCTCTTCAACCTCTTTCTGATGCAAATGGGAAGCATAGGCTAGAACACATTCAATAGAGAGAAGAAGTAAGCTGGGCTTGGTTGGTGGTGCACACCTTTAATCCCAACCCTCAGGAGGCACAGGTAGAGGGGTCTCAGAGTTTGGGGTCAGCCTGGTCTACATAGGGAGTTCTAGAACAGGGATAGGTAAGTAAAGAAACACTGTTGGCCTGGAGAGATGGCTAAGAGGTTAAAAGCACTGGCTGATCTTCCAGAGGTTCTGAGTTCAAGTTCCAGTAACCACATGGTGGCTCACAACCACCCATAATAAGATCTGGCGCCCTCTTCTGGCAAGCAGATATACAGGGAAGGCAGGATGTTGTATTCATAATAAATAAATAAGTCTTTAAAATAAAAAGAAGAAAAACAAAGGGAAGGAGAATTAGAGGCTTACAGAGACGACTGAGCTGGTAAGTGCTATGTCCTACATGGCTTGGTCCTGGAAACTTGACTTGTACAACAAGAGAAGGAAAAAGGGGCAGGCACGCGGGAAAGCTGGCATCAGGTGAGTTGTGCTCACTCTGATGGAGTGCACCTACTACGCACAGCCCAGAATCTCAGTGTGTTTATTATTGCCTACAGCAGGGAAGGAGGCCACGGCTAGTGTCAGTTAGGAAGTCTCTGGGGAGAGGGTCAGGCTGTGGACTCCTGGAGGAAGAAGCTGTATTTGCCAGGTTTTGCACACACGGGTCAACTGTCCATGACACTCAGTATTTGCACACACCGCCAACACTCACACGCAGACCTGAGGAGCTGCTTTCACTCGTAGACCTCAGTACTTGCACACACCACCAACACTCACAGGCAGACCTGAGGAGCTGCTTTCACACACAGACCTGAGGAAGCGCTTTCACACGCAGACCTGAGGAAGCGCTTTCACACGCAGACCTGAGGAGCTGCTTTCACACGCAGACCTGAGGAGCTGCTTTCACACGCAGACCTGAGGAGCTGCTTTCACACGCAGACCTGAGGAAGCGCTTTCACACACAGACCTGAGGAAGCGCTTTCACACACAGACCTGAGGAAGCGCTTTCACACGCAGACCTGAGGAGCTGCTTTCACACGCAGACCTGAGGAAGCGCTTTCACACACAGACCTGAGGAGGTGCTTTCACACGCAGACCTGAGGAAGCGCTTTCACACGCAGACCTGAGGAAGCGCTTTCACACGCAGACCTGAGGAAGCGCTTTCACACGCAGACCTGAGGAGCTGCTTTCACACGCAGACCTGAGGAAGCGCTTTCACACGCAGACCTGAGGAGCTGCTTTCACACGCAGACCTGAGGAAGCGCTTTCACACGCAGACCTGAGGAAGCGCTTTCACACGCAGACCTGAGGAAGCGCTTTCACACGCAGACCTGAGGAAGCGCTTTCACACGCAGACCTGAGGAAGCGCTTTCACACGCAGACCTGAGGAGGTGCTTTCACACGCAGACCTGAGGAAGCGCTTTCACACGCAGACCTGAGGAAGCGCTTTCACACGCAGACCTGAGGAGGTGCTTTCACACGCAGACCTGAGGAGCTGCTTTCACACGCAGACCTGAGGAGCTGCTTTGCCGTCCCTCTGACCCTTGTTTGGGGAAGGCTTTGCCACTGTCATGGGTCTGAGGATTTGAATGTCTGAAGCAGCTATGTCCCAGTGGGACCACACACATTCATTCGGGACTTCATCAGCCCTTTACATATTCACTCAAGGATTTCTCAGCTCTCCCAAATCCAAGGACCTGCCAAGCAAGCATCGGGGTCTGAGCCCTGATCCTCAGGACCCATGGAAAAGCTGGGCACTGTGGCATGCTTCTGGGACCCTGGCACTAGAGGGATGGAAGCAGCCAGCCTAGCCAAGTCAGTGGGTTGCTGCTTTGGTGAGACATTATCTCAAAAAAAAAAAAGTGTTAGAGAGCCAGGCATGATGGCACATGCCTGCCAAAAGCACTTGGATCTCCGAGTTCGAGACCAGCCTGCTCTATACAGCAAATTTAAGTCCAGACAGAGCTAATTGTGAGGTCCTATCTGAAAAATAAGATGAAGTTGAGGCTTGGGCCCCATGAAGAGACCCTATGAGAGGCTACTGGGGAAGGTGCAGCCCAGTTGGAGCAGAAGACCCCAGCATTGTGGAGAAGCCAGTACTGTGGGATGTCCATCACAAATGGAAGGGGCAATGGAGAGAGAGGACCCTGTCAGAAGCTAGAAGACAATTTGTGTGTGCCGTAGAGGACAGAGCCGGAGAAGGGACCCAAAGCCTTGGGGTGGGAGGAGCCCAGAAGATCGTGAGTGGATCCCTGACATTGGGCTGTTGGAATTGCTTTGCTCTGATTGTGAGGAAGGGTTAAAACGGGCCTTAGTTTGTATGTGGGTGTGGGTGGGTAGAGCTGTGGGTTTTAAAGTGGGCTGGGAGAGAATGTGTGAGACAGGAGAAAGAACCTCACTTGGGCTCAGTAAAGCTAACTTGAGGCTCCACACAGCCGAGAGTTTGCAGATTCGCGTTGTCACCTGCTTCTCCCTCCTCCAACTATAGTCAAGATGGAGGAGGCTGCACACCATACGGTATCCCCTTGGTTCTCACTGGGATGGGAGAAAGGAGCGTTCACCCTCTTCTCCTGCCCTGCCCATGTTGGCCATGTGAGTACTCCTGCCTTGAAACGGCATTCCTTCCTTCTCTATGGCTAGAAGGGATCAGCCAGAGCGGGGGAGAAGGCTGAGTCATACAAAAGAAGTGAGAGCTGACATCACTTACTCTTCTCAGGGAAGTGGGGGAAATTGGCTTCCACTACTCTGTGGTTGAGGGGCTGGACCTGACGGTAGATGTTGTGAAGGGTCTCGTTTTGGCGGTTCTTAATAGTGTTCTCGATCTTCAAAACCTGCAGGCGACATGAAATGACTCATGGGAGGGAAAGCTTGGCAAATGTGAAAGCATTAGGTTGGTGATTGGATAGATGCTCCCATCTGTGTGAGGCCGGCAGAGTCAGACAACATCAAGGGCAGCCGAGCTGAGTGGTTTTCCAGCCTTTCCTCTGCCTCTAACCCATCCATCCCTTCATCTTCCCGGCAGGTGTCTCCCCCTCTCCCCCTTGTCCTCTTAAATGAGTATTTGGTTAACAGAACAAAAGCAAAAGGTAACAGAAACATATCGAGTGGTAAGCTAAGTATTTGCACTTCTAAAAACAATCTGTCTACATCCTTGAGGTTTGTTTTTTTTCCTGCATACAAAAGTCTGGGTTCTTCATTTCCCTCCTTCTAGGAGTTTGAGTTTCCTGCCCTCTCTATATGTAGATAACTCTCTATATATTGTTTGTTTGTTTTGTTTTGTTTTTTGAGACGGGGTTTCGCTGTATGTTTTGGAGGCTGTCCTGGAACTACATCTATAGACCAGGCTGGCCTCAGACTCACAGAGATCTGCCTGCCTCTGCCTCCAGAGTGCTGGGATTAAAGGCATGTGCCACCACCGCCTGGCTTGCTGGACAAGTATTCTTAATCTGAGAGTTTGGGGTTTTCTGTTTCTGTTTTTCTTTTTTGAACAAATATCTTACTTTGTAGCCCAGGTTGGCTTGGAACTTACTGTGTGTCCAAGGCTAGCCTAGAACGCTCTAACCTCTTACCTCAGCCTTCACTGAGATGACAAATAAATGAACCCATCTGGCCTCTGAGGAGCTAAGCAAGCTTCTTCTAGATCCAGATTTAATTTGCATTCTTCCAGAGATAATTGACCCATGCTATGTCACTTCTTTGGGTACACGTCTAGCCTACTAATTGACATTTTGTGTGGGAGGGTCCTTACCTAGTAGAACCCTTTTCCATCTTCTCCTGGAGAAGAGAAATGATGTTTATGGGAAAGGAATATTTGCTTCTGAGGGAAAATACCAGTCTAAAGAAATATTAGATTTGCCTTGTAACTTCAGTATTCAATTCAACAGATGCATAATATGTCCCAGTATGATGTTATCTATTCTCTAAAGTCAAGAAACACTCAGGGCTGGGTGCGGTGGCTCATGTCTGTGATCACAACATTCAGGAGGCTGAGGTGGGAGGACAGCCATGATAGGATTACAGAGTGAGACCCTGTCAGAAGGAGAAGGAGGCAGGGGTGGGAGGAAAATGGAAGGAAGGAGATAAAGTTGGTAGGTAGGTTGGTTGATAGGTAGGTAGGTATGAATGTAGGTACAATGGTAGGTGAATAGGTAGGTAGGCAGACTGGTACGTAGGTAGGCAGGTTGGTAGGTAGGTAGATAAGCTGGCTGACTCATGTGCCTGGACTATTTATTACTATGAAATACAAAAGATAGCTGCTAGAGCAATTCTGCTCAAAACACTGAGTACAGAGCTGAGAGATGGATGGCTCAGTGGTTAAGAGCTCTTGTAGCTCTCGAAGAGAACCTAAGTTCTGTTCCCACCACCTACACGGCAGCGTCCAAGTGCCTGTAACTCTGATTCCTGGAACTCAGATGGCCTCCTGCATGTGTGTGCTGCACACAGATACACTACAGTATAACAGACATACACTTGGGTGCACACACGTACAAGCTCAAATTAACTAATTTCTTTAAAAGACTGAATATAAATCTGGGTTTAAGCTTGACAAAGAGCTGAAGCAGTCCTAGGCCTACGATGCACTAGATGCTGGAATGTAAGCTGCCTGAGGATGGAGAACAGGGCGTGGCCAAGCCTGCTTGAGAACACAGTCTTCACCATGGTCCTCTCCTGCATGGCTCAGACTCCAGACCGCTCACTGCATCGAATCTAAGCTCCTTGGATCAGCTGTGGCCTCCAACGCCCACGCACACCTCAGTGGCTGAAGGTCACCCACAGTTCCACCGGGGCAGGGACAGGTGAGTGTCTGTCCTGGCTGGTTTTATGTCAACATGACACAAGTTAGAGTCATCTGAAAGGAGGGAGCCTCAATTGTGGAACCCTCTCCATAAGATACAGCTGTGGGGCCTTTTCTTAATTAGTGATTGATGGGGGAGGGCCCAACCCTTTGTGAGCAGGGTCATCCTTGGGCTGGTGGTTCTAGGTTCTATAGGAAGTCAGGCTGAGCAGGTCATGTGGAGCAAGCCAGTAAGCAGCTCCCCTCTATGGCCTCAGCAGCAGCTCCTGCCTCCTGGATCCTGTCCTGTTTCAGTTCCTGCCCTGACTTCCTCCAGTGGTGAACAGTGATGTGGAAACTGAATGATCCCTTTCCTCCCCAGGTTTCTTTGATCTTGATGTTTTGTCACAGCAATAATAACCCTAACTAAGTATCAGACCTGTGTGTGGCAAATACCAGAGAATCGGGTGGGCTTCTAGAAGTGTTCTTGTCAGCCAGACAGCCAAAGGGAAGCTTTGACAAAGTGGTGCAGCTGTTACCTGGGTCTTAGAGAGCTTGACAGAGTCTTTAAACACGAACCACTTGACATTCTCTGTGCAGGGAGGGGTGGTGAGTGAGCCTTTGTAGGTGTAATAGTAGTGCGTGTCCCCAGGAAACAAGTCCTGAATGCTCACGTTTATCAGAGTTGTGGCTTCTCCTAAGAGAGAAGACAGGGTGTTGAGGGGAAAGGAATGCCCCAGGAGAGACAGCTCAGGCTCTGCCTCAGCATATGGAGTCTTCAAGTCCCCTGCCTAAGCCCAAGAACAAAAGAGCTGAGGAGTGAAAATCTGTCCCCCAGTTTTCTGCTCCATGGATGGGTAAGAGCAGAGCACTGGACCTGGGGGTGCACGTGTGTAACCCTAGTACTTGGGAGACCGAAGCAGGAAGTTGTCCATGAATTCAAAACCAGCCTGAGCTTTAAAGTGACTTCCAGAGGCTGGAAGAGGCTCAGCAGTGAAGAGCATGTCCTGCTCTTCCAGAAGCCCCTAAGTCAGCTCTCAGCACCCATGTCAGGTGACCCACTCTGCCTGCAGCTCCAGCTCCCAGGCCCAGAGCTAAAGCTACAGGATTTGTGGGACACTCGGCTTGATAGAGGAGCTTGGGATTTGAACTCTGGTCCTGTTGACTGTGGGACAAGCACTCTTGACTGCTGAGCTATCCCTTTACCGGCTTCCCTACTCACACCCCATTCAACCCTCTTGCCTGAGGTGGGCGTTCCTTACCTGGGTATTGGATGTTGAGCAACTCAGAAATGATGGGGCTGTAGTAGGTGTTCTCAGCATACTCGTCAATCTGGGGAGAGGCACAGAGCACTCAGTAAGGGGGAGATCTACTCCACCAGCAGCTACTTGGTTTCCCAAGGAAACAGGGCAAGGGATAGTGTGGCTTAGCTGGGCTGGGGGAGACAAGATAACTGCTCCTTGCTACCACCTACCTGGGCTCAGTCCTCAGGGCTTCTGACAGACTAGATGCCCCAGGCAAAACTGCTCATGTGACCCTATTGCTAAGGCATTCTTTCATATGAATGCTGATGTCATTGACTTATGAATATGCATCAGCGTTTGCCTGTGTCTGTATGTGCACCATCTGCATGCAGTGCCCATGGAGCCCAGAAGAGGGCAGCAGACCCACTGAAACTGGAGTCACAGTAGGTTGCCAGCTGTCACGTGGGTCCTGGGAACTGAACTCTCACCCTCTGTGAGAGTAGACTTCTTAACCATTAAGTCATCTCTCCAGCCCTGTTTGTTTTAAGATGAAAATAAAGATTGCTTTTAGTCTAAAGGGCAGATTTTTTGTTTTCTGTTGCTGATTTGGTTGGTTTGAGTTTGGTTTATATTTGTTTTGACAGGGTTTCTCTTCGTAGCCCTGGCTGTTTTGGAACTCACTCTGTAGACCAGGCTGCCCTCCAAATTTGAGATCCTCCTGCCTCTACCTCCAGAATGCTGGGATTAGAGGTGTGTGCTGCTACCACCCAGCTTGATTTTGTTTTCTTGAGATAAGGCTTCTTGTGTAGCCTGGGCTGGTGTAGAACTCCCTACACAGACTATGCTGGCCTCAGACTTGCAATAATCCATTTCTGCTATATGAGTGCTGAGATTACAGTTATGCACCACGGCAGATTTTGATCATTCAGTACACATTTTTCTCCTGTAAATTATCCAGCTAAGATTTATTATTTATTATTATTATTTATCCAGTTAATATTTAGTTTTGAGAATAAGATTCCTATTTAATTTTTTTAGATTTATTTATTTTCATTTTATACATATGCGTGTTTTGCCTGCATGTCTGTCTGTGTACCATGTGCACACGTGGTGTCCTCAGAGACCAAAGAAGACATTCCATCTCCCAGAATGGTTGTGAAGTTCTGTGTGAGTGCACCTGGGTCCTCTGGTGCTCTCAATGCCTGAGCCCTCTGCAGCCCAGATTCCTGCCCTTTCCTGATCAACTGTCCCTAAATCCATGGTGTGGACTCTCTTAGAAACGCAGTCCTGGTGCCTTTGTCTGACCGCATTGAGGTTTCACACAGCCCAGCACACACAGTTCACGTCCAGTCAGCCCTGCTGGGGTCCCAGGTCTTCTGAGTCATCTCAGTACCCAGGGTCCCATGGTTCATAGCACAGGAGTGAGCAAGGGCTGGAGAATGCTCCATGCTCCACTGAGGGAGCTTTCCTGGGAAAGCTCAGGAAGGGACTGAGAGAGAAGACGAAGACACGTGTCACTCAGACAGTGCACCTGGTCAGGCCGTGAGGGCGGGCACAGCAGCCTGCATGGACACTCACGTCCCAGCCCTACCTCAATGAAGACCGCCAGCACAGCCAGGCCATCGGGTTTACTCTTGGCTTCGTCATAGCTCCCGTACTTGGAGTTGAAGTGAACCACATGAATCTGTGAGTGAGGGAAAGCAGAAGCAGGACTTCAAACTCTGGAGGATCCCAGAGGTGAAGGGAAGGACGGCAGATGTTCCAGCTGAGGCCTCAGACCATCCCCCACACAGCTCTGACCTCCCTTCTCCTGCCCAGCCTATGAGCCCCAACTGCCAGGACCAGGAACTTCTCCAGGAATGGGAGGAGGGGAAGCAAGATTCTGGAAGGTGGCAGTTCTGGTTTGCCTTGACCCAACCTCCCTCCTGGTAGAGGCTGAAGCCACTATGTCCTCCTCAGGCCTCTAGAGGGCTTGAGGAGAGTGAGCAGTGAACCCCCTCCCTCAGGGAGCCATTGTAAGCCTGAGATCAGCCCAAGGATGGATGCCGGCCAAAGATGTGCTCTGAAACTCTTAACACACACACACACCATACACACACACACATACACACACACTATACACACACATACACACACACACCATACACACACATACACCATACACACACATACATACACACACACCATACACACACACCATACACACACACATACACACACACCATACACACACATACACACACACCATACACACACACACCATACACACACACATACACACACACACCATACACACACATACATACACACACACACCATACACACACACATACACACACACACCATACACACACATACACACACATACACACACACCATACACACACATACACACACATACACACACACCATACACACACACACACCATGCACACACACACACCATACACACACATACACACACACCATACACACACACACCATACACACACATACACACACACACCATACACACACATACACACACACATACACACACACCATACACACACACACATACACACACACACCATACACACACACACACACACACACACACACACACACACACACACACGCACGCACGCAGTTGAAGCAGAGGAAGGCCGGCCACCGTGCAGGCGGGAGACTCCTGCCATGCTGTGAGTTTCTGAAGAGAAACTCATTTACGTTCCCGCACAATGCAGAAACCAGTAGTAATGTCTCAAGGAACTGAAAATAAATTCAACCACAGGGCGACTGAACCATCACCACAAAACTTTACCATTACTGTTGGCTATTTCAGTAAGAAAGGGGGAGCCGGCAAGCCGGCTCAGTTGGTAAAGCACTTGTGTGAGCATGAGGAATTTTCAATCCCAGCACCCACACAGAGGAACTGGGCACAGCTGCTTGTGCCTGTAATGTCAACGCTAAGGCCGTGGATGGAGATAGGATCCCTGGGGTTCAGCGGTCAGCCAGTCTAGTTAACAGATGAGATCCAGACTCAGTGAGAGAGAGCCTGCCTCAAAAACAGAAGAAAGAAAGAGAGAGAGAGAGAGAAAGAAAGAAAGAAAGAAAGAAAGACAGAAAGACAGACAGAAAGAAAGAAAGAAAGAAAGAAAGAAAGAAAGAAAGAAAGAAAGAAAAAGAAACAGAGAGGGAGAAAGGAAGAAAGAGAGGAAGAAAGAAACAGAGAAAGAAAGAAAGGTGTGATATAGGAAGACTATGTCAACTCCTGGCGTCCACACATACACACACACACATGTGCATGCACACTCTCATGCATGTGCACATACATGACACCTGTGTGACACAAAATGCAAACACATACAAGGAAAAAGCAACTGGAGCTTGAAGGAAAGGGGACCCTGTTGGGACTGTCACGTACCTCTATCACGCGCCTGATCCCATCCACGGTGTGCTCAGAGCCACTGAGCTCAAAGAAGTCACCGCCCCAGTGCAAGTGCATCTGTTTTGCTGTGTACACGGTGCCCTCAGAGTCTGTCACTTGCATGGTGGGAGGCAGGTTGAGCTGCACTGTAAGGGACAACACAACACAGGGAGGCTCAGATTTTCCAATCAGCAGACCCCTGGGTCATCCCCACCTCACACCCAAGGCAGTCCAGGGCGTTATTGACAGCTTAGACCGCTGTCCCCAGGGGGAGGAGGAACTGGCACACGGGACACCTCTGTGTCCAGAACCAATAGGTCAGGGGCGGGACTACAGCACAGCACATCTGCCTCACTGGTCCTAGAAAACGGGAAAGCTCAGAAAACACACTGTCCTAAGCACATGCCTGTACTCCTGGGCCTTGGAGGCTGAGGCAGGAGGATTGCTGGTTTGAGGCATTGCTTCATGGCTTTCCCCAGGCAGCCTGTGAGCTAGCCCATAGAAGTGCCACCATACTGGGCTCCAATACAACTGTTTTGTGCACAAGGAAGCCGACCCTGGGACAGTGAAGACTCGGTGTCATGCTGTGCCTTGGATGGGGGCGGAGCTGGGCTAGCCTAGTACTTAGATCCCTGTCTCTACATACACGTCATCGTGTTGTGGCCTAACTTGTCCTCAGCAGACAAGAAACCAAGTTACACAGCCAGCCAGGACCACGCAAGCTCTAGCTTGGCTTAGAACTTAATCTGACGGAGATTCTAACACTACAGTGTGAGGTTTTCATTGGAGAGAAAATGAGTCTCCCACCTCACACCCTACAGACTTCCTACAGGGATGCTACTTGGGTCAAATGACTGCAGATATTCATATCACTAGCACGGACTTCAAAACAGTTTTGTCAGCCAGGTAGTGGTGGCACACACTTTTAACCCCAGCACTCAGGAGGCAGAGCCAGGCAGATTCCTGTGAGTTTGAGGCCAGCCTGATCAGGACAGCCAGGGCTACACAGAGAAACCCTATGGGGGGGGGGGAGCAATGTTGACAGTACAGCCAGCCTTCCCTAGCATGGGCAAGGCAGCAGGTTCTACTATTAATCCTAGAAACCCTAGAAAACATTAATGACAACAAAATTGTTCTGCAAATGACACTGGCCAGAGAATGAAAAGATATGGCATACTGTAAGAAAGGATTTATAAACATCTGATAAAAGTCTACTGCAAGCCTAACGCAATGGCTCAGAGGTTAAGAGCACTGTCTGCTCTTCCAGAGAACCTGATTCAATTTCCAAAACCCACATGGCAGTAATTCCAGTTCCAGGGAAACAACGCCCTCTCCTGGTCTCATCAGATACTGCACACACATGGTGCACATAACACACACAGACAAACACTCATACACAAAAAAATCTTTACATAAAATAAAGGACTCTTAAAATTCAACAATAAGGCCGGGCATGGCAATGTACATCTTTAATCCCAGTACTCAGGAGGTAGAGGCAGGTAGATCTGTGTAATTTCAAGGCCAGCCTGGTCTACAGAGTGAGTGCCAGGAGAGAAAACCCTGTCTCGAAAAATTAAAAGAAAAAAAAAGATATTCAACCATAAGAAAATGAGCATGCTGATTTTCAAAATCAGTGAAACACCTAAACAGATACTTTACCATAAAAGATATAAAAGCTGGACATATCTGTAGCTCCAACACTCAAGAGGCCAAGGCAGAAGGATCACTTGGGCATAGATTTAAAGCAGCCTGTACAACATGGAGACTCTCTCCCCATATGTTACAGAAACGTGGAGGTACTTGAGAGATGCCTCAGTAATTAATATGTACTACTCATGCAGAAGACCCGAACTCAATTCCCAGCACTCATGTCAGGTGACTCCAGGAGGATCTGAGGACCCTGGTGTCTAAGGGCACCCACACTCATGTGCACAGACCCTCACACAGAGACGTATATATACGTGGTTAAAAATAATGAGGGACTGGAGAAATGGCTCAGGGATTGAGAGCACTGCCTGCTCTTCCAGAGGTCCTGAGTTCAAATCCCAGCAACCACATGATGGCTCACAGCCATCCATAATGAGATCTGGTGTCCTCTTCTGGCCTGTAGGGATACATGCAGGCAGAACTCTGTATATGTAATAAATACATAAATAAATCTTTTTTAAAAGAAAATAATGAAATAAATCTTTTAAAATAGATTAAAATTCATCCCAAAAGTAGAACACAGACTTTGCATGCACAGAGCCTTCCCAATACCTCAAAAAGATAGGGGGTTATTAGTAGTTTGTGGGTCTCAGTAGTCCAGGCTACTCACAGACATGGCTCTGTCCTCCCTCTTACTATTCACCCGACCCATAACTGGAATTTGGTTTTGTTGTCTCAATGGGGCAATATGCACATGTGCACAGACAGTAAACTGACTCACCCAGAAACCATGCACACTCCCAAGAACCAAACATCTGGGTCTGTGGCATTGGGCATTAGTGGCTACCGAGAACCAAACATCTGGGTCTGCAGCACTGGGCATTAGTGATTGTGACCTTGCGTGAGCCCCTGGCCTCCAGAGATCTCAGGTTTCCCGCCTGAAAATGGACCTCCTTAGGCAAGCTTGGGGGTGCAGGCCTCCAAGCCCAGCACTTGGGCTTAGAGACAGCAAGGTCAAGAGCTCAAAGCCACTCTAGACTCCGAGTCTGGGACCAGCCTTGGTTACATGAGCTCAAAAAATCAAAGTCAGGCTTGGAGCCGGCTCAGTGGGTGACGTGTAGCCACACAGGCGTGTTGGACCCAACACCTTCATAAAAAGCCAGATATGGGGCCCCAGCCATGGGATCCCAGCCCTAGGGAAGGTGACAGGCAAACCTAGCAGCCAGTCTAGCAACAGTGAGTGACTGTCTGGAAAACTAAGATGTAGGGGCTGGAGGGATAGGTCAGTGGGTAAAGGCACCTGGTGCCAAGCCTGACGACCTGGGTTTGATCTCCATGACCCACATCGTAGAAGGAGGCACCATTGCACACATACATGACCCACATCGTAGAAGGAGGCACCATTGCACACATACAAGTAAATAAATAAATGTGATAAAAATTCAACAACTAAGAGAGCTATTGAAGAACACATTGGATGTTAACGCTCCCCTCCTGAGGTTGCTATGAGACTCAAGGCAAAGCCTAACGGAGTATCAGAAGGGAACACTGTGTGGGCGTCATAGTTGCCCAGAGAGGGCTCCTAAGATCCAGCTCTCCCATCCTACAGACACGCTCATAGTCTTTCTTGCGCTTCCTCACTCTCTGGAAAAACTGAACCTTTGAGAAACTGCGTTACCTCTCTCAGGTGCTTGTAAATACTCAGATTCCGCACAGAAACTGTGGAAACTGAGGCAGAGCTGCATTAAGAACAGTAGGGAATGTGAGCCTCAGCCCCTGCCCTCTGAATGCTCTGCTGGGCACGTCAGAGCAGGCTCAGGTAACGGTCTTTTGGTGTATTATTTGGGTTTTGGTTTTGAGAGAAGATCCCACTGTGTAGTCCAGGGTAGCCTCAAACTCACAGAGATCCAACTGCCTCTGCCTTCCAGATGCTGGAATTAAAAGCGTGTGCCATCACACCTGACATGGTTGTTGTTGTTATTAATATTATTGTTGTGAGTTGTTGTCATTATTATATTTATATTTATTTATTTGGGGGTTGGGGCAATGCCTGACATGGAACCCGTGTGGAAGTCAGCCGAGTTTTGAGAATCGGCTCTTTCCTTCCACAGTGTAGGTTCCGGCACTCGAACCTGGGTTGTCAGGATTCAAAACAGGTGCCTCTGAGGAGCCCACAAGGGTGTGAGTTTGGAGACAGTTGCTGCCTGTCTCTGGAAGAGTCCCCAGGGTTTCTGTGCGCTGGGCTCTGGGTCTCTGTACATTGCTACTGCCTGCTATCCACACAGACGGCCAGGCCCACCGGTGCCCCCTGACCTGTGTGGCCATTGTTAGTCATGGAGAACTCCAGATTGTCATCCCCATAGCCCTTCAGGATCAGCGGCTTCAAGGAGCGGTTGAACTTCACCTTCTTGGTCTGCAGATTGATGGGCGACTGCCTCTGCCCCCCGCAGTCAGGGTACTCTTTCGGCCAATTGCTCTCTATCAGCCCGGGCCCTGCAACGGGAGAGAGTGCGGTCAAGCTCAGAGCTGCCCAGCTGAGCCCCCTTCTTAGCAGGCTGGGTTCGAGGTCTTCTGGGTGGAGGACCCATGGGGCAGCCTTCTGGACACAGAAGCAGGGCTTCCACAGGGCAGGCAGGGACAGCTCTGAACTACTCCGAGGACTTGGCTGGGGGTGTGGGGTGATGCTGTCTTCCTGCTCTTCCTCGCAGCCACTGGCACAAGACCCTAAGCTGGTGGCCACGCCCAGGGGTCTGCTCTGCAGACAGTTGGTTGGCCCTCTTCCTTCCGGGATTCACAGCTGATGAACGCCCTGAAGGAGGCCTGGACCTACCAACGGCCCCTGACCTCATTTCCAGAGAACATAGTTTTCTTTCCAAGCCCCGAACTTGAGGGCCCAGCTTCCTCTGCTGCTGGAACCTTCTCCAAAGAGCACCTGTTTCCTTACTCCAGGCCCTTCTTTGGGTCTGCAGGAAGGCCAAGACAAGGTCACCTAGGTGACAACATAGTTACAGGGCACCTGAGCAGCACCCTCCCCCCACCCCCTGCACTGCAGAGGCAGAAGTAGGAGGATCAAAAGTTCAAGGCCAGCCTGGGCTACATTAGATCCTGCCTTAGAATGCAGGATAAAAACAATTAATTTTGGGCATATCCATAGTCCCAGTTTCTCAGGAGGCTGAAGCACGGGATTGTTGTTTTGTGTTTTTTGTTTTGTTTTGTTCTTTTAGAGGCAGGAGGCTTTTTTGAATCCAGGTGTTAACCTGTTTTATGAGACATCTTACCATATAGTCCTGGCTGGCCTTGAACTTGTGGCAATCCTCCTGTCTCCATCTTTGGGGGTTTGGAATTACAGTCCTGTGATACCAGGAATAACTAAGCCCAGAGGTTTAAGACCTGTCTGGGCAATGTAATGAGATATTCTCTTTAAGAGAGAGAGAGAGAGAGAGAGAGAGAGAGAGAGAGAGAGAGAGAGAGAGAGGGAGGGAGGGAGGGAGGGAGGGAGGGAGGGAGGGAGGGAGGGAGGGAGAAAGAGAAGAGAATAGGGAGGGGAAGGAAGGGGAGGGAGCTGCAAAACGTATCTTTTTGGAGATGGTTAATAATCCTGAGGCAAGAGGAATGATGACCAGTCACTACAGATGACAGAGGCCCCACATCGCTGAGGAGTTTGGTTTTGGTTTTCAAGACAGGGTCCCTCTATGTAGCCCTGGCTGTCTTAGAATTCACTACATTAACCAGGCTGGCCTGGAACTCACAGAGTTCTTGCCTCTGCTTCCCAGTGCTGGGACTGAAGGCGTGCGCCCCCAATGCCCAGCTCTCTTCAGCCATTTGCGGCTGAGGACCCTCTGAGGGTAGCTTTGCATGAGCACGTGGCTTGTTCTAGGTAGGATGGAAGCTGCCTTTGAGGCTTCTTGATTTACGATCCACAGAAAACTTGATTCTCTTCTATCCTACCCAATACTACAAACCAATTTTTAAACCAGTCTTTCTTAGAGGCAAAATGCCAAGATCAAGGGAAGAGGCCTGAGGCACACCATCCTGTGACCCAAGAGCTTTGGGCCTGGGTCTCAGAGGCATCAGGAAGATCCTGGGGACAGCTCAACAGCAGAGCTTGCCTGGCACATGCAAGCCTGGGCGCCAGTCCTAGTGCGAGGGGAGGAAAACATGGGGTAGCTCATACATCTTCCTACTGGTCACTTACAAAAGTCACTCTGGGATCTCCAGGCCTCTGGGGCCATGCGGGAGGGAGACCTTCAGTTTGGGAGTCTCAGCCACCATAAGGAAGACAAGAATTTGCCATCAGAACTCTCAGAGGTCTTGGGCCACCTCTGAACCGCGCCAGTAAGGCCATTGGATGACACAGAAAGTCCCTGTCTTCCGGGCAGGTACAGACTCCATTTCTCCTTTTCTGGACAGGTGACTGACGTGGCTGCCCTACGAATTGATTTATCTGAGCCTCTACAATGTCCCTGACTCTGTCACCTTAATTTAGGACTTACTATCCACTCTCAATGAGAAAGCCACGCAGGGAGACTTTGTCCCGTGTCCCTCTGGTCTCCCTGCACCTTCCAGCAGCCTCCTCCAGCCTCCCCCTTGACTCTCCCCTGTGAAGCCTGACTGGGTATCTCAGGGTAAGGTCAGTGGGTCCTGGTGAAGGCAAGGCGGCCTCCATCAGATCCTTGGTGAAGTGTGAGTAGGCACGTTTCTAAGAAGGATGAGGTTTGTGGTCCAGTAGTCTCTTCTAGGAGGGCATAGCTGTCCTTTCTAGAAGCTTCATTCGTCACACATTCAGGTAACAGTAACAGCCTTCACTAGTAGACGTGGGGTCTCGAGGCAGCCAATGCTGGGGTGTAAAAGATTCTAAGCTGCCGGGCTGAGGCAAGGGAGCGCTGTCTCTTCTCCTTCATCGTGGCTGAAAGTCTATTTGTTCATCAGAGAGAGCAAAACGCTTGTGAACCCAAAAGAGCAGGACCCACAGCCAGCACGGGTGGGCCGTCTTGTCACCCTGTCTGGAAATGCTAGGTGGCCGCTTACCTGAGTAGGTCCACTCATTCTGGGCCTGCGCACCCAGGAAGAAGAAGGACACCACAGTCACCAGAACCCCCATGGTCCACGCTGAAGTCCTGAACGCAGCAGAGGATCTGGGCAGCGCTTCTTTTAAAAGCTCAGAAACTGTAAATAACAATTTACCAGGTCCAGCTGGCTGGCCCGCCCTTTCGGCACCCACTGAACAACAACACCTCCCCACAATGGCCCTTCTGACTTGGGGCCTTCCCCACGCACGTGTCACACCTCCTCCCGGGCATCGGGCATCGCCACGGCCAATTAACCCTGTCTGGTTGTTCAGCGATCTTTGCAAACTCAGTCCAGGGGCCACACAGTGCAGCCTTTGTGGACCTTGAGTGATGAGTGATCTGTGGAGATGGGAAGAGCCCGAGGCACACTCACCTGGAAACAGGGGCTTCCTGGAGGGTGGCATTTCCTCTGCCCTTTCTCCTGGCCGCTAAGGGGAAATCACCAGGGCCTGAAAACCTTGCCAGGTTCCAGTTGGTATTTCCTGCCTGTCCCAGAGTGGACAGAAGACTATCCCTAACAATTCAGGGGTGCCTCCAGCCCCCGGCCACAACTGGGAAGAGAGTTTGGTTCTCCAGCGTTGGGCGAGAAATGGAGGAACCCAGTTGTCGGTGGAGATAGGTTTGTCCCCAACCTAAATCAGCCCTGGACCTTGGAGCCTGGCTCTTGAACTGCATCTGCAGACATGCCTTCGGGCCACTGAGGAGGACCAGGAGGAGGAGGAGGAGGAGGAGATATGGGTAGGTCCTCCTGTTTCTCCTGGGATTTGTCCTGACAGTGCAATACCCTTGGGCACACCCACGCCAAACCAATGAGTTGTCTAATCCTCGTACATCCACCTGGCTGGTGTAAGAGAAACCAGCATGTATGCCTGCCGACAAGCCAGCGTTCCCAAGCCCTTCAGAGAGGCAGAGGCAGGGGGCAGGTGGGACTCCAGAGGACATGCTGGCCACATGCAATGAACTGATCCACTCTGACAAGCGATGAGTCCCCTTGACAGTTTCCCTTAGCTCCCTGCTCACTTGTGCCCAACCTGACAGATGCTGGAATGTCAAAAAAACAGTAGCATGTTGTTGCACCAAACGTCTGAGAGGTGCTGGGGTTGAATGCTTCCGAGAGCTCCCTGCTGCCATTTAATCAGGGAGCATCCATTACTGTGAAGGTCCAACTAAGATACTAGACCTATTGGAAGAATCTCAAGGGAACAGTTACTAGCTACTCTGTGCCTCAGTTTCCCCATCTTCCATAGGAGCTCTCGACAGTGCTGCCCCTACACACACACACACACACACACACACACACACACACACACACAGGAATTTAGCAATAAGTGTGCATGCAGTGCTCAGAGCAGGCCGGATACATAGCAGCTGGCATTAGTTTTGAGCTTCCCATTTTATGACGCTTGCTCTTCAGATTGTAGGGTTTCTCCAGATTCAAAGCCCACTCTGCCGTCCCAGCTAAGCCAGTCTTGCCTGCTCTGCCGAGCCCCTGGCCCCGCATAAAGGGTCACCTGGTTGACCCCATGAGCCCGATCTCTGCTGAAGAGTTTAGTAGATACCATCACAATCGGAAGACTGAGGCAGAAGAGTGCGTGATGACTGCCAAGGGTTTGAAGCCAGCCTGGGCTATAGAATGAAACCTTGTCACAATGAAGGTGGGGGGGTGCTGGCTAGAGAGATGGCTCAGCAGTTCAGAGAGAACACTGCTCTTGCGGGGGACCCGAGTTCAGTTCCCAACACCTACGATAGACAGGTCACAACCACCTGTAACTCCAGATCCAGAGGATCTGATACCCTCCCAGTCCCCGTGGGCATTGTCACTGTCACACACGCACCATTACACACGCACCATTACACACGCACGCACGCACGCACACACACACACACACACACACACACAAATAATAAATAAAAAAAAAGAACCAAGCATGCTAGGGTTTGCAGTTCTGGCCCAGCGTGCTCAGTCCCTGACTCAGTTCCCACCATCACGTAAACCTGGTGTGGTAGCATACGGCCGGCCACACTCAGAAGTTCAAAAGTTTGAAGCCAACCTGCACAACGTGAGACACTGTCTCAAAAAAAGGAAAAAGAAGTGGAAAGCAGACCCCCACTGACTCCAGACAAGGCAGCATCGTGTTTCAAGCTGACTGGAAAACAGAAACGCAGTCAGGGTCTCACTCTTTATCCCAGGCTGGCCCTGAACTCACTCACATCTGCCTGTCTCTGCCTGCAGAGTGCTGGGATTTAAGGTGTGCAGATTTCCCTTGGGAGTTCACACTGGAAACCAGTGTGTAGCTGATGGTCAGGAAGCAGTCCATCTGGAGTAGGATGGGAGAGGCTGGAGTGGAGGGAACTCAGTAAGCTGGGCCCCAGGAGGACAAGGTTTCCCCGGGGAGGGGAGGAGGCAGAGAAAGGGGATTGTTTCTGAGGCAGGACCTGCTCCGGGAAGTGACAAAATGCCTTGAGTTCCCCACTCTCAGCAACTCACATCCTCATCTTGCATGGGGTTCTGCAACCCTGAGATTAGGATTTTGGGGGTTCCAGTATGGGCCGTCTTTGTCCTTGCATGCTGCCCTTGGTTGAGTCTATAACTTCAAGCCCCACTGGTACCCACCATCCATCAGGTCTGAGGTTCCGCTGACCGCTCCCATGCACAACTGGTGGATGCTGACCTGTTACAGGAGCAATTAAATTAATAAAGGGAGCAGAGCCGATCTGCTCCTGAAACCCAAGAGCCACCTACTCTCGAGGGCACATTACTAGGTATGGGTCCCCTCCCTCTTCCAGGTGGCATAGTCCCTCCCCATGACTTACTTAGCACAGAATAAGGTAATGTCGATTTTGTTGCCTACTTTCTGACTCATTGTCTTTTTTGACCCTAAAATTTTCCATGCATCAACTTTGAACTTCGTTTGCTTCTTATATTTGTGGTGTGTGTGTATGTGTGTTTGTGTGTGTGTGTGTGTGTGTGTGTACGTGCGCACATGTGTGTGATATTCCTTCTGCCTTCATCCTACCATACCCCCACCTCACTGAAGCTTATTTTTACTCTAAACCCCTGTTCTCCACCGCTCATCATTTGATGAGCTGAGATGAGCTGACAGGTGGATCGTTTTGTTTTGTTTTGTTTTCATCACAATGGAAAGTTAAGCATGAGAAAGGAGCCTTTGTGTTTCTTGGGTTTATGACTCGACTGCCCAAAGAGGTGAAGGAAAAGAAGAGAGGGCAGCCTCGTCATCCCAGGTGAGTACAGAAGCAGGAAGTGACAGCAGCCCAAGTAAACAGACGCCACCTGCCTGGGTGGGAGGGAGGTGTGCTCAGCCCACATGCATCTGCACAAGGAAGGTGAGCACGGGTGAGCACGGGTGAGCACAGGTGAGCTGGAAGACGACAGCCCAGCGAGCCACTGCCCAGGTTCATACAGAACCGACATTGAAGAGCGGTTCTGGCTGTACAAGAACATGCCTCTTGCGGCTGTGAGCAACACAGAGAGGCTATTGTCTGTTTCGTACAGGACTGTGAGCATCCAGTGAGTTGTCTGCGCCAAGAAGTTTAATCTATCACAGCTGAAGCCCAGTTGCTGTGTTCTTGCTTCGTTTTCATTTGAGATAGGGTCTTAGCCGGATCTGGTTGTTCTGGACTCACCATGTAGCCTTGGCTGTCCCCAGACTTGCTATGGTAGATCAGGCTGGCCTCAAACTCAGAAGTCCACCTGCCTCTGTCTCCTGAATACTGGGATTAAGTTAAACCTGTTAAACCTGCTTTCTTAACCTCTCTTATTGGGAACATTTCTAAGCTTTTCCTGAGATGGAGGTATAGCTCAGTGGCAGTGAATTTACCTGGAGCAGAAAGGGTTCTGGTTGGATACCTAGCATTCAAGACATAATTTAATAATTCTCTTCTTTTTAAGATAGGGTCTCACCAGGCATTGGTGGCGCATGCTTTTAAACCCCAGCACTCAGAAGGCAGAGGCAAGCGGATCTCTGTGAGTTCAAGGCCAGCCTGGTCTACAGAGAAAGTTCCAGAACAGGCTCCAAAGCAATACAGAGAAACCCTGTCTCGGTAAAAAAAAGAGAGAGAGGGTCTCATGCGCTCAAGGCTAACCTCAAACTCACTATGTAGCCAAGGATAACCCTGAACTTCTGATCTTTTTGTCTCTACTCCCAAGTGCTGATTCTAAGCTCAACTGTGTCTCCAGTCTAATTTATGCAGTGCTGGGGATCAAACCCAAGGCATGCTGGGTAAGACCTCTACCAACCGAGCTACATCCCCAGGTCCGGCATACAGCATACTTTTCTTCCTCCCTTCCTCCCTTCATTCCTTCTTTTCATTTGGAAACAGGGTCATACTATGCAGACCACTGGTCTTTTGTGATCTAGCACTCAGCACCTATTATAGGGCATCTATACCCAAGCATAGCTTCCATCAGATCCGCCCTTCTTCCTGGCATGGTGGCACACATCTGGAATCCAGCAATCAGGAGATGGAGGCAGGGGACCAAGAGTTTAAGGTCATCCTGGGCTACATAGTGATTTTTGAGGCCACACTAGAATACATGGAACTTTTTTTTCCTCAAGATTTATTTATTATGTATACAGTGTTCTACCTGCATGTATGCCTGTACACCAGCAGAGGGCATCAGATTCCACTACAGATGGTTGTGAACCACCATGTGTTTGCTGGGAATTGAACTCAGGACCTCTGGAAGAACAGCCAAGCGCTCTTAACCTCTGAGCCATCTCTCTAGCCTGAGACTCTTTTTTTTTTTTTTTTAAATAAAACAGAGCCAGGCATGGTGGCACACATCTTTAATCCCAGTACTCAGGAAGCAGAGGTAGGAGGATATTTGTGAGTTCAAGACCAGCCTGGACTATGTAGTGAGTTCCAGGAGAGCCTGAGATACACAGTGAGACCCTATCTCAAGAAAACCAAACAAAGAATAGGGCTGTAAAGGTGTCTCAGGGGATAAGAGCACTTACTGAACAAATATGGGAACCTGAGTTTCAGTCCCCAGTACCCATAAAAAAAAAGGCTGTGCAAGGCCACATGCACCCCCAAAATGAGAGGCAGAGATGGGGGCAGGTCACTGGGGTTTGTTGGCTGCCAGCCCAGCTCCAAGTTCTGATAGGGGAGGTCCTTATGTGTGCTGTGAATATAGGTTTCTCTTATTGGTTGATGAATGAAGCTGTTTCAGCCAATGGACAGCCAGGATGTAGCCAGGCAGGAAGTATAGGCAGGGCTACCAGACTTGAAGAATGCTGAGAAGAGGAACACAGAGAGTGAGTTGCCACGGAGATGCCACATAGATAACAGGGAGATAGGATGCCTGGCGTTCTCCAGTAAGTCAAGACCTTGTGGAGATACATAGATTAATAGTAATGAGTTAATAATTAAGAGAGAGCTAGCCAATAAGAAGCCTTAGCCATCGGTAAAACAATTTATAATTGATTTAAGCCTCTGTGTGTTTATTTGGGACTAAATGGCTGCAGTACCAGGTGGGACACAGAAACTTCCATCTATAGAGTTCAGTGAAGAGCCCTGTCTCAAGGGAATAGGCAGACTGAAAGAGCCAATCACCCCACATCCTCCCCTGGCTTCCAAGTGTATGTGTGAGTGTA